TGTTAGGGCCCGAAGCAACCGACCGCAGCTCCGCCATGCGGATGGGCTTCCGCACCTCCCTTACATGCCACGCCCTGGCGTGCCGCATGCCACTCACTGTTTTTTAGCCCGTTGCTGTGTTGAACGTCGCCACGGATGCCTTGTGTGCTCCCTGCTGTGGTTGCAAACACAGCTCGTCGTCCCCAGAGCAGCTGTCAGGCCGTGTAGCAGGCGTCAAGCCGGCTTTTCTTTCGTCCCCTAATCCCGGCAGCCATGTATTGAGGTCCGGAATGCACGTTGCGCACTTGCATCCGCCACGCAACCTGTACGAGGCATGTAGAGCAGCCCGCAGCAGAGGAGAGAAGCTGTGCATCTGCGCTTCTTGGCGGCGCCCGTGCCCACCAAGCATTGCCCACTCGTCGCGGACCCAATGCACAGACGGATGTAATAATTACCATGTGCATTGCTTTGGCATTACAGCGTGCATGTCCGCGCTCGCTCGCGCTTGCCAGCGATTCGGGCAAAGCAGTCCAGAACACAGTCCACGCAGCCTCAGGCAGCAATTTTTCAGCGATCCTGCATGTCAGCTGCCGGTTGTGTGCTCGGATCCCAAGCTCAAAGACGTCAAAGTTTGTGTCCCTACACACACCTTGCTGTATTTGGGCTGAGCGGTTGGGATCGCGGTTCGGGCAGTAGGCGGGTTGGAGCCAGCCCTGCGCGGAAGTGGCACGTCACCACGGCCCGTTGGTCGTACGCGATCAGCTAGTTTGATAATCATATCGGGCGATCCGGAGAGAACCAGCCGTTGCAAAACGGCTTGTCGACCCATCGCCCGCCTCGCCCGAACGATGAAGAGCCCGGACCCCGAGGAGCGCCTGTCGCCCCAGCAGTGGGGACAGGTCATCACCATTGCCGGCATAGGCACAGTCCTTGAATGGTGCGGCACGATCGGCTCTCCGCGCCGCCAATGTCGCGGGGGTTCAGCGCACGCAGACATTGCAGAATTACGGCATCCGCGCCTTGCCTTTGCGCCGCACCGTCTGCCAGCCAATTCAAAAGCAGGGGAAATCTCGTAGTCTGCAGTGAATTGGTCCTTGGGTGTTGCTCGTGTGCATGATGAACCTCGTCGTTGCTGCTGGCTGCACATGCGGCGTGCGCCCGTCATGCAGCGTCAGCTTTCGGTGTGCAAGCGTGCGTTCCTTCATCGGTGCCCCAACCCACAGGTTTGACTTCTACACCTACACCCAGCTCAATGCCACCCTGGACAGAGTGTTTTTCCCAACCGACAATGAGGCCATCCAGGCCCTCGCGTTCTGGGGCGTCTACGCCGCCGGCTTTGTCGTCAGGTACGCCGCCCCCGGTTCCTGCGCCATGTTGCAGCGTGCTTGTGTGTTGACAGGCATGCACGCCGCACATTTCAGAGATGTTGAGGTGTCATCGTTCTCCTGTATTCTTGGTACTGAGCCCATGTGTGGGCATTTGGCTCCAAATTGCACATATGAACGTACGTCTCTAGGCCCATCGGCGCGCTCATCTTTGGACACATCGGCGACACAGCGGGACGCAACCGCTGCCTGGTGGTGTCTATTCTGTTCATGGCCTTCAGCACTGTGGCGATAGGTGAGAGTGTTCAATGCTAAGATGTGATCACCTGCTGGGGCCGTAAGGTGAAGCACGATGCCATGTACGAGCGAAGTCTCAAGTGGTCAAGCACTGTCAAAACACAACCGTAGTAGATGAGGCCACAGGCTACCATCTCTGCAACATGGTGACAAGTGGATGAGGTCTCTGACACTTGCATATTTGACTCAACCCATGTACCGCCCCTCCCGGCAGGCGTCCTGCCCACCTACAGCACCGGCGTGTACAGGGCCGGCATCGCAGCGCCCGTGCTGCTGGCGCTGCTACGCATCTTGCAGGGCCTGGCGCTGGGCGGGGAGCACAGCAGCGCGATGTGCTACATCAGCGAGCTGGCGGACAAGGGGCAGCGCGGGCGCTTCACGGCCGTCCTGCAGTGGTGCGTCAACATCGGGATGATCATTGCCACGCTCATGGCCATGATGCTGCAGAACACACTTTCGGAAGGTGCGCCTGGGATTCGAGAGGGGGTGGGGCGCAGCCGCCTCGCCCTGCGGGTCCGGCTGCCTGATCGTCAGACCTCAGCACCTGAGTGTTGAGCGGCTTGCCTGGCGTCGCAGCAGGCGCCACAGACTGCAGCGGTGGAGCCTGCAGGTGTTGCCAGCGCACCATTTACGCAGCAGTCGCGCACATCCCAGATGCAGCCAGCTGGGGGACATACCGAAAACCAACCTTCGTCTACGCGTCCCGCGACTGCATCCCCTCATCACTCTTGCCTGCGATCACAGATGCCATGTTGAACTGGGGCTGGCGCGTCCCCTTCCTGTGCGCCGCCGCCACGGCCCTCCTGGGAGCTGCTCTCCGGCGCAACATGCCGGAGCCGCACGCGTTTTTGGAGGCCGCACGCCTGCAGAAGAGGCTCGCGTCTGGCGGGGGCGTGGCGGCGGACGCGGCAGAGGACGGCGCGGGCGGGCAGCGGTGCGGGGCCTGCCAGGCTCCCCAGTCCTGCGGGGCTTGCCAGGTGGTGCGGCCCCCGACGGCGCCTGACCTGCTGGTGCAGGTGGCGGCCGGTTCAGAGGTGAGGCTTGGAGGAGGGGGTGGGGTTTGGCGCCTCGTTTGGTGGACTGCAACCTTGGTCGGCGGAGGCTTCGGCTCAAAGAGATTGGTGACGCGTCTGCGAGTAGTTACTGAAAGCGTCAGACTCAACCTCAATAGACTGGCGCGCCTTTGCAGTGCACGTGTGATGGAGGCGAAGGTGTGAGTGCCCAAGGCCGGACCACAGCTGACTGTGATTTTGCAGGACGTGCATGCTTCCCATCAGATTGGGGCTGATCGACTGTATCTTCACAAAAGTCTATCGCACCATGTCAGTGTGTATGGACCGCAACCACGTGACATACAAACCCTCTTGCGCTCTACTCATCCAAGAAATGTACCCCCATTATTCTTGTGTTCGAACAGTGCCCTCCTGCCTCTCAGCCGTCCCTCGCTCCTTCCTCCTCAGGTGCAATCAGATTCGCTGTCTGATGCCCCAGTGGAGGCCGTGCACGGCCATGCTGCCGCGCGCACACCGATTGTGCGCCTCATGCGCACCAATCTGGCAGGCGTCGGGCTGCACATCTGCCACATGAGCTGGTGGGTGGGGGTGCAGTGCGGCGGCCCTGTTCCCTCCCAGGCCCACCTACTCAAGGAATGACGAAGGCAGGGCTCGAGCCACTGCATTTGAGCTCCTCTGCCGCCCAGCTTTCCAAACAGCTCCCACACGTGCATCCACCTAGCAGCGGTCTCAACATGTGCAGAGGAGAGCCTCACAGCACAAACATTTTTTTACATGCTTGATCATGCCGCACTGACCAAGCCACAACAATATGGTATATGTGCGACAACCCAGCTGCATGCATTCTGCATCATGCACGTAAGCAAACCTGTGCAGCCGTCTGCACACCTGCCCAGGTCACCAACCACACTGCACTGCACATGTGTTGGCAGGGTGTCTGCCGCATTCTACCTGACGTGCAGCTGGCTTGCCAAGGACTTGCGCACCTACGGCTATCCCCTCAAGATGACGCAGGTGAAGGGCACTATGCCGCTGTGCATGCGCTGCGCTTAACAGGCACAATGGTCCGTCCTAGCAAAGCCGGAGCCAAACCTGACATTATTGCAGCGAATCGCCGGGATTTGTATGTTGCACTGCAAAACTTGGCCCAGAAAGCTCTCATGCCTCAAGACCCACCTTCCCAACTTGCTCTTTTCTAACCCTCACCGCCACTGACCACCCTAATCCCAGGGCATCCTCATTGTGTCGCTCATCCCCAACGCCGTCGGCCTCTTCCTGGGTGGCCTGGCCCTGGACCGCGGCCTGCCCGCCCTCTACAGCAACATGGCCCTCGTCACCGCCGCCACCGCCCTGGCCTTCCCCGTGTTTTACGGCGTGGGCAGGTCCCTGGCCGCGGCGTGGTGCCTGGTGCCGCTGTTCCAGCTGTTCGTTGGGGCGGTGCAGGTCCACAGCCTGCTGCCCTGCACGCGCATCTACGAGCCCCTGTCGGTGAGCAGGAGGCGGGCGGCTCAAGCCTGGGGTTGGGCACTGCACCAGGATGGTGGGGGCTCGGGTGTCAACCCTGCGGATAGAGACTGCAGACGGGGAGATGCTGCCACACAACCTTTGCAAATGTCACAACAACGGTGCTTGTTCCAGCCACCTGCTTCGGCACATGTGTGCCCCAATTGCAGCACTACACCCAAAGGCAACCACCCAGCTGCCTGATGCGGTCGCACGAGGAGCAGCTGGCGCGTGCCAGGGTCGAAACTCACCCCCGCCACAACAACCCGCTCCCACTCAGCGCACAACGGGATTCTCCTTTGGCTACAACTGCGGCTACGGTGCGAGGGAGCGCGGGTGGACTCAGAGCAGCTGACGTATCGCACCTGTATCTCTTGTTGCGCGCGTGAACGCATCCCTGACCACGCGGATGTACGCGGCCAAATGCAACTCCCCTTCCCATGCATACACTTCCTGAAATGTCCCCCCTCTCTCCAGCCACCCCTTCCCCCCTAACCCTCCTTGGACCCCAGGCATCATCGGGGGCCTGTCGCCCCTGCTGGTTGCGGCCATCAAGACTGGCCTGCCCGGCCACGTACACCCCTTTGCGCCGGCGCTGTGGCTGCTGTTCCTGGCCGGCGTGTCGGTGCTGGGGGACGTGGGCCTGCGCCTGTACCAGCCGCGCCTGGGAAAGCCCTTTGTGGGCCACATTGAGTGATGCGCCCCCAAGGCTGTGCATTGGACATGCAGAACCCCTTCTATCAGGCGCAGCTCGCCAAATGCGCAACAGCACGGGAGTCAATGGGAGCGTCCCATGCCGGCAAACAGTGTGCAGGTAGAAGCCGTGTGGCATCGGGGAACCCTGCGATGTTGACGCACGGGCGTGCGCCGTGCCCACAACGCCCCACAACGACCCTAGCTGGGCAAGGAAACGAGGCAGCTCGGCTCGCTGCTGTGCGAAAGCCCCGAGTCTCAGGCATTGATCCTGGGTGGGGGCGCTGGGCTGTTGAGGGCCCTGCACTGCTCCCGATATCGCTTATAATCACCACACAGAAATAAGTCGGGCAGCAATCCCATTGCACAGCTGTGGCACTTCAATCGAGACGCTTCTCAGGGCCGTGCGTTGCACTTCATTGATGCAGGGTTTGTTTGGATTGTCAACGCACATTTTGCTATGCCTAGGATTTTGTATCGCCAGCCCCACAGGACATGTATATTTTTTCGGCTAGAATAGATTTGCGTTGATTAGCGCATATTCAACCCGTGCCATACTCTTTGGACGCACTGCACCTTGGCAATTGGTTGCCCTTTCTTTGACCATCCATGCATGCCGCCTCTGACAGAGATCTGCGAGCGCTCCTCATCCTCATCTGTCTCCCGCTGCCCCACAGTGCCCTGGAAAAAAAACATGCCGCCGTTGTTTGCCAACCGCTGTGTGTTTGGATGCACCCGCACACATCATGCACGGCTTCAACCACCTCGGTCTTGCTGATCATCGCATCACTACCATAAGGCGTCCTATGATTCAACGTAATTGATGCGCACGTGTGCATTATGTAACCTAGTCAGCCCGCGCGTGTGCATCCTCAATTTGGCTAGCCTGCAAGTGCTTCGGGCGGCGGGTGCGTGTCATCAGCACCTCAGCTCATCAGCAGGCACTTTAGTCCAGCACGCTACATGTCTTGGGTGCACTCGTTTTTCATGCACGCTCACAAAAAGTCTCGTGTACCGTATTCCCTTGATTTCTTTCCTTGCAATCTCTTCCGTACCGGTATAAGAGCGAGGTGATCTCGTGGGGGGTTGCCTCAGTGCCTCAACACTCCTGTACACCTGCGTAAAGATGGTGAGAGGTTTTGGCGACCGATCATGCTGCTAGTGTGTCACCTGAAGTACAGGTCACGCATTGTCTCGGTGATGTCACAGTTGGCACTGTCAGAACTGGTCGGCCTGGCGGGATGCTGCCTGTCGAGCAATGATTGACGGCCTCACAAAGAAGAGCAGTGTACAACAGAAATCACGGCGGTTCCAACGCTGCATTGTTGTTGTTCTGGATTGCCGCGACCACGCCGGTCGCTTGATGCCATCTCGCGTATCCAGCGAGCGCGCCCTACACCCTGACCCAACCACGCTGCAGGTCAAGCACACCGAGCTCAAGCCCCCTGCAGAGGTGAGCCCTGCCGCACCTTTGACCTGCCAGCTGGCTTGCAGGTGCACACATCATGCCCCCATCATGCAGGCTTTGTGTGTCTCTGTGTGTGGTACTGCCCCGCACCCTCGGTCCTCATCAACGCACTGTCCTCGAGTTGCCATTGCCCTGTCCGCGTTCAGTGATTTTGTATTGCATGTTATCAGATCTTCTGCCAGCATTGCTGCTGCTGCTGCTGCTGCTGCTGCTGCTGCTGCTCGCTGGTGCTGCCGCCGCCGCCACCGCCCCCGTCGCCGCTGCTGCTGCTGCCATTGCTGACCCGCTGTTGCTCCGCCCCATGCGCGCCCTGCAGCTGGTGGATGCCATCAAGTCATCTGAGGACGCGAGCACCGCCCCCGCCAGCGCCGTCATACCCTCAGGCCCGGGGGGTTTCTCTGGTGAGACCCTGGCTCATGTTTTTGACCAGAGTTGGGCTTGGTGTGCGTCAACAACGTCACGCAAAGCACGCACGAGACGGGCTTTTTGAGGAGCGGGAGGAGGTGCCGAACAGTCACAACATTATGAGGGGCGTGGGGCTGCTGGCACCGCGCTCACCACGCTGTGGTCATCTGCAACCCGATTGCACCTGGGGCCCTCGTGCGATATCTGGATCCGCCCTGCACCCATGCAAGCGCTGCACCAGCCCGGCGAGGACACCTCACCGCTTATCATGAGCACACAGCGATGACCACGCCTGCCGCCCCAACCTTGCGAAACGCCGGCAGGCAGCACCCCTCGCGTCATCCGCAACGCGCTGGAGCATGAGGAGCCGCAGCGGCCCTCGTTGATGGCGGACGCGCATGGCAGCGCCGGGGGCGAGCGCGCTGTCGCGGGCCGCGAGGAGCGCAGGGAGGAGCGCAAGGAGGTGAACTTGTGGAGTGGTTGTGCTGGAGATCGTTTTGATGCTATGTTGCTCACATGGGCCTTACTGGTTGCACACGAGTCTCGCTCCCAGTACTGTAGTTGGGTAGGCGGGGTTCCTTCAGGCTGGCCGGCGCTGCACTTGTCACGCTTGTATAGCGCACCCACTGCTTGAGCAGCCCGCACCCTGCCCGTCTCCAACCTTGTTGGTGTCGCTGCCTCCTCGCAGCTGGACATGGAGCACACCGCCGGCCACGGCTTCAAGGTGCGCGGGCGGTGCATGCAGTGCGTCCTGGACGTCGAGGCTGGCCGACTGCGTGGCACGCATGCGGCCGTTGCTTGCTGTTGCTGGGCTGCAGCTGCCGGGGCCGGCGGCCCGCTGCATGCGGAAGCTTCCTGTCACAAGGACCATCAGGCACAACCCGGCACTCTTCGTGACATGTCACCATCAACACCACCCCCACCTGTTGGTGTGAGCCGAGACAGCCCCACCCCCCGAACCGCTACCGCACCCCTCACACGCTGCTCACCACCGCCCTCCTGCCGTTTGCGTGCCTCGCCCCACTGGTGCTCTGGCAGGGGCAGCGGTACGACCGCGATCACGTAGTGGCTGCCGACCAGGTGGGCAGTGCATGGAGCAGCCATGCACCGGGGCTGTCATTACAGTGGTCTTGACAGTCATGGGACCGCCTGGAGCAAGGGGGTGCGCCATTGAATCTCGGGAGTTGACTGCCGTCGGCACCGCGTTGCGTCGAGTCGACCCTCCCTCGCTGCCCGCACGCACCACGTGTGCCAGGGCCATGGTGCTGAGGCTATAAACTCCAAGGTGAGGGGGCACGACACCAGCGATGTGGAGAGGTTGACCGAAAATTGACATCCAGACTTGTGGCCGTTTGCTCAGTATCGGTGCATGTCCTTTCGATGGTTGGCGTGCCAGCACCACCATGGTGCTGCCACAACTCTGGCTCAGGTTGCCTGTGGAACGCAATAATATACACACGCCCCAATGGCTGCTGCTCTGGCTGTCTTGCCAGAACCCTGTGTGTACAGCCCATGTGTGTTTGACACAACCCGCCGACAGCGTGTCCGCTTCAGGCGCCCCCACCCCACACGTGCGTTTGATGGGACTGCCTTGTGCCTGGCGCCCTGCAGGCCTCCATCATGTCTCATGCTAGGAAGCAGTGAACAGGCCAGGCACCTGCGCAGAGCCATATGTGGGGGCATCACAGCTTGAAGGAGCAGCCCCTGTTGCAGCTGTGACAGCAGCAAGGCGTGTGCCCCCGTGCATGCCGCTATGCTTGTGCAGCCCGGCCGGTGCGAATCCAATGTTGCAGCAGTGTTTCGGGCTGCGGTTGCGTCGCGGGACGTTGGCATGATGCTGCATGCATGCTCTCAGTTGTGTGTAAGTGGCTCTAATGTCTGTACAACATTCAACAATATTCATGGTATGGTCATGCGAAGGCGAGCTGCATGAGGCGTGCGGGCAGCAGCCGTTGACCGCGGGGTGAGCAAACAGCTTATCATACTTGATGATAATGTGATGCGCCAGGATGAACGGCAAGATGCAGTGCATGTGTGAGTTACACCTGCGGGGGTTGCCATCGTCCTGCACACCTTGGTAGGTTGCCGCGCAATGTGTCGCATTCAAATGCAGCATTTGCGCAGCGGCAGGGAAAGAGCCGGCGCATCGTCTGTTCCCCGCCTGTTACCATACCCCAAGCCCAGCCACTGACAGCTGTATATTCGATTGCCAAAACGATTATTACGGAGTGATTTACGAACGCGAACGCCTAGCTTGCCAGCCGAACAAGGTCCCGTTCCACAGCACAGAGGACTCACAGCAGAGAGCAGGCGCACAGGCAGCAAGCATGGCTAGCAAGCGCATCATGAAAGGTGCTTGTCCCATGCTGTCGGTCGCGTCCGGGGGCGATCGAGCGGCGGTGATCACAGCCCCTCTTGGTGTTCTCCCCCGCAGAGCTGGAAGACCTCAAGCGGGACCCGCCCGCCAACTGCAGGTGAGGGGGACATCATAGGGTTCATTTCCTGCATGGTACGAGGCCTGCTGCTGCCCTGGGCGCGCCTCTGGAGTGTTCCCCTGTGGCCGAGCTCCTTTCTTCGCCCCTTCGCAGCGCTGGTCCCGTGCAGGACGACTTGTTCCACTGGTGAGGATATGTGGCTTACAGATGGCTTTAGCTGCGGTCCAGGACGCCCGCATGGCTTGGGAGACGAGCAGCATGACCGCGGCAGTGTAGGCACTCGTGCACACCTGCCCCAGCACGGACGTCTTGCTAACTATGGTGTCACTCGATCGCCTCTTCCGCAGGCAGGCGACCATCATGGGGCCAGCGGACTCGCCCTACGCAGGCGCGCGCGCGGCTGTGCTGGGTGTGGGCGGCGGCGTGCGGTTGCGCGCAGCGGCGGGATCGCGGCAACTGCCACGCTGCGCTGGGTTGCTACGCGGCAGGGCGTTGACATACATGCAGCAGAAGCTTGATGATGCGCATGGCTTGGGCCGCATGGTGTGACAGGGTTGCGAAGCAATTGTCATTGGACGCAGGCACAGCGAGCGGGCGGCACTTGCCTTGGCCATGCGTGCTTTCGCGTTGCACAGCGCCGCCTGACCTCCAATGTCCTGCGGCGCTCCGCTTAATCGAACGGCTTCGCAGGCGGCGTGTTCTTCATCAACATCCACTTCCCCCCGGGTATGGGTCCCTTGCCGCGGTGCCCCCTGCCAATGCCCACTGTTGCTGATCCATGCCTGCTCCGCCGTGTCATCTGGCGCATGGCAATCACCACTCGGGGTCCCCCCTCCACCTGGCCCCACTCACCTTGACCCCAACCCCCCCTCTCCTGTGCGC